TTATTTGAAATTTTAATATGTGTACTATTGCTACAACTGCCTTAATTGCGATATGAATATAGAAGGATGAAGTCGAAGGGAAGTTAGAACACAGATATCATCAATTTCGTAGGAAACGAGTTCACCGAGCGATGTTCCGCACGTGTCACGGGAACAAAGAAAATCGGGTGTTACACCGAACGCGATCGCTAGCGTGAATTTCGAGTCGAGCGAGCATCGACAATTGAAAACGAATCGGAGGAAGGAGAGGGCACGGTTCGGGGCCGGCACGGGGGCTTCGTTCGTTAGCCCCGATTACGACGGAAACGACGGGACGGAAAGGATCGCCTGATTTCATTAATCATAAGCATCGAGAGAGATCCTCCGATAGAAGGAAATGAAAAGCGTTCTGTCACGGTCTACGCGCGCATTCTACGCGAAAGCGCTAAATATACGGCGTGTCCCCTCTCCGAACATACGGCTCACAATGCATCAAATTGCATCTGCCTTTGTACCAGTCGTCACGCGCGTTGCACCTCGCTTCGATTGTTCGATACCGGAAACAAACTGCGTTACCGTCACCTGCCACTACCACCACCGTTACCGCCAACACCACCGCCATCGGCGACGCGCACACGGCTGCCGCCCTTTCCGGCCAATTTTCTCATCCTTTTTTGCCTATCGCGTGATTACCCGTACATATGTGTAAGCGAAACGAGCACCCGGCAACCTTCTGTTCCATGGTGACCGATGCTACGAAATATCGATAAACATAAGACGAAACAAACACGACTGTGACGCGATAATGAAATAAACTATTGCATATCTCTGAGTTCAAATTTATAATCAGAGTATTTTGAAACCCTCTTGCGAGTGAAGAAAATATTTAACTGTGGTTACGTATAATTATTTCCAATTGCCAATACGAGAATTACGAATTAAAAGCGTATCCTGCCGCAATAGACCAGCTCGTTTTACAGCGACGGGATTTCAGGCTTCTCTGTATATTTAACGACGTTACTGGCCACACTGTGCAAAACACGCTATTTATTTAGGAATAAAGTGTGGCGATGAAACAACGATTTCGAATCCACGCAACTCGAACGCAAATCAGATACTAAAATCCTGCCACTTACAATTTTCGGTAAATCAGAAATGAAAATGAACTCGATACAATAATTTAACAGACATTATTTGTCGCGTACGATATGAAATATTAATTCAGAATTATCAAAAGACAGGATAAAATAATTGTAACTAAAAACACGAGGCAAGAGAAATTCTTACTCCATTCGGCAACCATTGGCCGGGAGTCCTAAAAGCACCGCGCTCTCTCGTTGACGTGATCTCGGCAAACGCGTTTAACAACGCAATTTATATGCGCCCTAGGTGCATTTACATGCGAAAGAAAGGTATTTGAGCGGAAGGTGCAGGGAAACGAAGAGAACGACAATAGATATTTACACCGAATCGCGAACGCAGTCGCTGCGCTTTTTTTTTCCGCCCCGCGGATGAAATATCGTGGTTTCCGTTTACACGGATTAATGCGCGCCAGACTGTTACAGATTGCGAATGGCGTTTTTAAAAGATTCGCGACGCGGAAACAACGCACGACGGCGAAATAATTGTGACCCGCGTATAACACCTTTAGCGATCATTACGTTTTCATAAATTCCCGTTTGTTCCACGGCCTCGGTTCAATGTTATTTAATTTATTCACGCCCCTCAATTGAAACGAACGGAATGGCATTTAATCATATACTCAAGCCAGGCCGAAATATCAAGCGAAATCATTTAAGCCCAAAAATACACTTTCAAACAAACTAGCCAGCAGCACTGTTAATTATTATTAATTTATATGCCCCTTTTCACTGGAAAATCGAAGTGAACGGAACAATACCACGGATGCAGTAATCGCTTTACCTATCGATTGTTCTATACGTATAATGATTTTTACAGAAAATTATCATCATCGTCGCAGTCGTCGAAAATTTGTTTAATTTGGATGAATTACGGTCTGCCAACATTGATGTGACATGACCGAATTTCATTATCAGTAATAGATAATGTGTTCCGGTGAATAATTTTGCAAAATATGACTAATTTGTCATTAACCATGTATCCCCGGTGATATTAACATTTCTATTAACGCTGATGATCAACCCTCACTAACAAGCCTGGCATAATTGATGTAATCTAGCGTTTAGAGTGCATCGTAAAAACACATGAACCGTGGAACACGTCGAGGTATTTCGATTAAGTGAAAAGTATAAAATTAAATCAGTGAAAGAGACACTTGGACACGCGAGAGTACCGTCGATGATCGTTGCAACTTCGCAGAGCAGACTGGTTCGAAATTGGGAAAAACGGAGCAGGCGAACGAATTTTAAAAAAAGTAGGGGAGGGGGAGAAAGATGTAGCACGTAGTTTCCATGCGAGCAGTGGGCGTATGGAGTACGTACTCGTATTTATAACCAGCTGTCCCCGAAAAGTCGCGGTAGGACGCGGTCGATAACCCCTTTCGACTTTTATGACAAATTCGCTCGTTGTCGTTCTCGTTTATTTGCCTACCCTTCTCATCCGTTCTCCGAATTTCCACCCTTTTTTAACTTCCTCGACGCCGAAACTTGGTAGACGTGAAACGGAGTTGGCCAGTTTATTCGATTCTCGATTGCACAACGTCTTTCGTTAGACGTGAATGTAGTAAAAACGGCTGACCATGAATCTAACGTCCAAGCAAGTGCAAATCCCTTGGAGTTTCCCCACCTCCCTGCGTGCTCAGGAATGTAAACAATGATTCGCAAAATCGATTTGGCGTTTTGGGTATTACGTATTAGCCAGATAGAACACAGATAAGCTTCTAATATCACGGCGTACCTAGTGAACCATTAATTCAGGATTTTAAATCGAGTTTCGGGCGTAAACGAGATAAGAAACTGTGCCACCAAAATGAATTTTTGTAACAGGACGAAGAAGAGTAATCGAGTACGTCATTGTTAAGACTGACTCCGAACTTTTACCTTCTCTCGTTTAATTGTTGCCCACGATCCGCTCGTCGACGTGCAACCATTAATTTCGTTTAACTGACTGCTCTTCTCCTTCACGCGACCAAAGGAAAATCCCTCGGTTCGATCGTAGAGATTCTTCGTTTGGAAGTCGTAAATGATTCTCAACAACCCCTAAAGGAACTCTCCCGGGAGTAAAGCACCGAGAATGCATGTAGTTTCTGCTTTAGGAAGCAATTTCTTTCACGAGAGACAAATACGGGAGACCTCGATTCCCAGAATCTCGTTTCTGCAATGATCGCTCTTTTCGACCTTATTTTCAGAGAATCGTCACTACAATACTAATAATAATTATTACACATACAATTATTAATAAACTAAACGATGTTTTTTAACCCTTTAAGTCGTTAAACTTGAGGAAGCTTACGCTTATAATTTTCCATTAATTTGTTATGAAAACAGTCTTTGACCTCGAGGGCGGAGAACGATCGGCCGCGAAGGACATTACAATATCGTGGTAGTTAATCGTAATCAGGTCCAAATCGAATGAAATGTTTGTGCGTAAATTACGCTAATCCACTTACTTTGAAAATCGTCGCAACTCCTGGTGCATAGAATCAGCGTTGGTATCCGTAATAGTCCTGCATGCTGCTGCACCGTAGAGAGTATCCTCCTTCTGATATAAAACGGAATCACCAGGTAGAATGAACTGAGAGAACGTACGATCATACGAATCCTTCGATTCACGTAAAAGCGACACTTTTACCGTTCACAAATGAGCCCGATTCACACCGAATCGATCGAGATCGAACTCAATACCGGCGTTCACCGATCGCGAAACATAACCGCATGCGTCGCTTCAAATCGTCGTGCAGCGAGTCGATCGGCGAACACAAGAACGGATCGCGCGCGTTAAAAAACAAGGAAGGACAGGTCTCGCGAACGGAACGACGGAAAGCCCAAGCTCAACGTCCGCGTAGCGACTGGCGCCCGACACCATCACCCTCGCCGACAACACCCCAAACCACTAAGCGCGCGCGACAGACAGAGAGCGACTGACCGCCTGCACGCGGAGCGATTGAGAAAGCTGCCACCCGGTGGCGCTACCGGCGGGACAGAGGGGTGACGGGTGGGGATTGGCTGGCTTGGTTGGCAGTGCGCTCGCTTGCTACCACTGGGTTATGTTCGCGCGCCAGATAGAGAAGGGTAGTTCACCAGAGAAAAATCGCCAGTCTTTCTAACCCTCTCGCGCTCCAGCCTCCCTTCCGGACTTCCCCAGTCTTCTCTTTCCTTTTTTCGCGTTACGCGTTTCTTATGTGTGTTCCCCGGATTCTTGTTTCGTTATTCTTGATTAGCGTAAGTATACATTAGTTAATCCGATGTTCGTGGATTTATCTGCTTACGGAAGCACTTCGCCATTTGAATGTTTTCCCGTATATTAGCTTCTACAACAAATATGGTTCGTTGTACACATGGATCTTGTACTTTGAACGATACGTAAAGGCCAAAGGTCGTTAAATATTTCAGGAATTTAATTTCCAAGAATTTACACAATCTTTTATCAATGTAATATTTAACGACTATTAAAATTTCAATGCTTTGTCATTGTTTTTAATTAGAGGCATACACAACCGTAAAAACATTAGTACACTTTTGTTCCTTTTAATTATCACCCTTTCAATTAGTATTAATTTCGCTTGTATTCCACATAAAATTAAACTAAGCAATCTTTCAAACGGTAATAGGCAACTTTTCCCAGCTGCTCTTTATGAATCACGGAGTCTTTAGAAAAAGAACAAATCGTAACAACGCTGTTTTAAGCCACAATGTCCATGTTTTCCCGCAGTAATTCCTCGTCCCGCACGGTGGCCCAACGTCTTCCGGAACGGAGGGTGCGCTTGCGCGCGGCCCTACATTACGTCTCGCCTCCTGATTCCTCGTAATAAAAACGTTTGTCTCGGAGAATGGCCCGGGTTCGCATATCTTTCTTCCCGGCGTGGCATGCATCACGTGCCGCACGTGGTTCCTTTCCACCTTCCTCGCTTGTCGCGTACACGCCACCGCCTGGACCCGCTTCTGCACATCACGCGACATCCAGTATGCCGTCCTCGTCCGAAAACGTTACACCGAAAAAAAGAGCGAACTGGAAAGTAGGACGACGATACCTCGCAGCCGCCGGGCGAAGATTAACGATGAATGCCCGTCGAATCCAGACAAATGTGGTAAGTTTCCTCTTCTTATTGAGCGCCAGTTATAAAACGATATAAATTTTCACCCGCGCAGCTCAAAGTGCTAATATTTCATTTTCGTCTCCTGTAACGAAACACGTTTGGCATTTCAAAGAGTATGTTCTCGAAACAAATGGTAAAGGGTTAAGGGAGAACTTCGTAAGAGATGGAAACTCCGTCTAGCTTAGCGTGGAAACTCGTTTAGCGACACCGGCGTCGACGGAAGGCTCGACGATGTGTTACGGGACGGCATTTCGGAACTCTTAATTGAGACAAGAATGAAACATAAATTATATCCCCGTTCCAAAGAGGAACAACTTCATCGCGATAAACCTCATTAAGAGCGGCTAGGACGGTTTTAATGGAAATTTCTATCTGAGGATGAGAGCTAAGATTTCTCACCAGTAAGGAAACGTACCACGTGGCGAACAGTACGGACGATATTTCAACCCTTTTCAAGCTCCGACGACCTCCGCTCTCGCCTGACCCTGACTATCTTCCTTCTCTTTTTTCATCCCCGTCATCGTCCTTGTACGAGACACGGGGAAAGATAAAATACTTGAGGGAACTCGTTCTAGTAAAATCCTGAAGGAAGTTTTCGGTGGAAATGTTAAGTATAAGATCGGCTGATCGCAGCTTACGAGAGAATTAATTCGTTATATAGCGTACATATTTTATTTATAATTAGCCGCTACAATAATAGCGGACGCGAACGTGAATTTACCCCAGAACGCTGTGTTCTCATTTTCCCTATTTTGCTGGAGGGTTGGACAGAGACTAAAGCGATGATAAGTCGTTTAATTAACTTTTGAGTTTGCAAATTTCTGGCGCGCACGGTCGCGTGATCACGCTCCTCTAAAAGGTCGAAAAAACAGGCCCTCATCCACCGTACCTTTTCTCCTCCGCGCCTTATATCTTCTTATTCTCCCTCCCGTATTTTTACACCAAGGAAAATAGAACTTTCGGAATGTAATTAATTCTGAGAACGAGCTAAATGGAAAAACTGTGTTCTCGAAAATTGTATAACGCATAAAAGAGTTTTATTCTCGGCAGTGATGTCCGAGCTTAGAAACAGGTCAGAGGTGATTGAAAAATGAAAAAATTAAAAAAGAATATGACTGAACGAGGGTAAAGCGCGTTGAGTCACACATACGTACGCACACGTACGTGTCTCCATTACGGTTCTTGTTTTCGAAGTAGTTATCGCGCGTATGCAGATGAATATGTATTTTAGTACTTTGAGCAATTCGGGGGTGAAAAGCTGTTCCGGGGTAACTTCGTGCTTACGAACAAGCATAATATCGGACCCGAAAATGTTTCAACTCGGGAAAACTCGGGTAACTTTAAAATAACAATAAATGGAAGGTAAAATGTCGCGGAGTTCGGCGATTTTTTGTGTTTCAACATTCTTAACAGTACGCGTTATGGACGCATGGATAGCGTTCGATAATTGTTTTGTACGCGCGCAGAACAGAAGCTCGTTTCATTAGAGTTAATGAGGCCTGCTTCCCATTCCAGCCAGGTCACGGGAAAGCTCTTAGGGCGTTACAGAAGTTTCCGTGTCGCACAGTTCTAATTTCTAAAATTCATTTATCTCCTGACCCGAGCGAACGCATTGCGCGTCTCCATTATTTGTGCGTTGACGTTCACATTCGTCGGCTCGTTTATTTCGATCCGATGCCGATTCCGTCCGAAAAATCGCTGGTTTCGACGTAGAACGTTGAAAATGCGAAAATTTTACCTTGGCCAACAAATTCTACCTACCGAATTCAACGAGCCTGGCTATTACCAATTATTGTTTGTTTAAACGTGCTGAACTATTTTATAGCCGGACGTTTTGTGTAAACCAAAGGATGGAGAAACTTCCATAAAAATGCACCGGATTTGCTTTGATCGAATGGATAAAATTTCGCGCGAAATAAATCGGGTTAAATAAATTCTTTTGACACTTCTCACGATCACTTTTTACGTTTATCCATAGCCAAAATACGCGTTTCAATCGCGTAATCGAGAGAATATTTCTCCTTATCGCCCGAGCACTACATTCCCTGTTTACTTTTTATCGCGGATGCGTCAAAACGAAAATATTAAATCGAACTGACAATGAAATATTCCGTTAAACTCGCGTTACAGGTGACATCCGTCCGTTTGTCAAGCGAGCGAGATGGATTAAATGAAAATTGTTTGCTTTATTCTCGAACGAAGCGCATGCTTGACTCGTCATAGTTTAAACTCGTCGATGATCCTGCTTTACTCTCTTGAAACGCTTTTAATCCTGTATCGTTTTACCAAAAATTTGCCACTTCGACACTCGCGTGATTGTGCATAATTGCTCGCTGAAACGCATCGAGCAGTTTCTCGATTCCTTTGTAACGAAATCTGAAATTTATCCAAAGCATCAGCGTCGACTGTAATTCAATTGGAACAGGGATCCCGAGCATACGTTTCCACGAATACGTGGCACGTGTTCCAAGTTCGAATTCATTTTCGTCGCCGGCGTGGGTTGATATTAAGAAACCGGCGTTGTATATCGGCGAGATAACGCTTGTTCCTCGTCGGCGAGTATGAGAGAGGGAAACACACGGTGGGAGGGAAGAGCGAGAGGGTGGAATGAACGCGGGCCAGCCGGGTCGCGAATTACCAAGTCAAATATATACGAAGTGCATTCGTAGGATCGCGGTGGATTAAAGTGTCAAGCCGGATTGTATTGGCCGAAAACGACGGGGGCGGCTTCATTCGACGCGTGAATTATGTAGACGCCGCGCCGGTGGTGCACACGAGCGCTGTTATCGAGGAAAATCGGGTCACAGCCGGGGCCGGGCGGCACTGTCGATGGGGGTTGGACCGAGAGAGAACTAAGGCACGTCGAAATGCGCCCTTAATATTAATCCCCTCGGGCGCGCACCACTTACATGCCACCCTCGCTGCCTCCGCCCTCTCGCCCACCTGCCTACACGGCTAAGTACGTACGCAGGAAATTCAGCCTGATGTTCCTACTGCAAATTCCTCCTCGACGTGTCTAAACGAAATACTTCACGAGGAAAATGATCCAGAATCATCCCATTCGCAGTGTAGTTTACTTAGATTCGTGGAATCGATCATTTCCACTTGTGTAATCGTTTAACTCTTGACTCGCATACACGAATCAATTCTAAACCTAATTCAAAACGTATCAGATCCCTGGAAATGATACAATATGAATTTCTTTGACCTCTATAAATCTTTTCCGTAATTTCTTGAATGGCTCTATTCACTGAAAGTCGTTGAAATACATGGATACGTTTTTTATATAAATGTGCCAAAGGAGCTCACAATGTAAGGATTAATACTACATTAACGAAGTATAGCTTTAAAGAGATGACAAGGTAATTTCTTTTTCACTTTTGAATATCTTGTTACACTGGTAAAATGATATTCCACAAGCTCTTTGAGGATTCTATTCACAATAAGTATTAAACGAGCAAACACAGCACCTGTTAAGACCGCCGCGTCTGACTGTACGCCGACCTCGACTACTTCCGTTGCTCGTCCGTTCTCTACTTACGCCGTCTTTGCCGCTTTTGCGTGAGTTCCACGATGAGTCGCGTAAGTACACGGGTTTTCCTTGTAACAACTCTGAACAAAAACGTTAAAAAATTCTCATTCTCCGCGATAACACCGCTATCTCTTAGAGCGCGATTAAATTTTCATTTTAATGGAGTCTGCAGGAATCCTTTCCGCGCGATGAGAAGACAAAACAATATCTGAAGACCTCGTAAATCCATCGAGAAACAAGCTCTGACGAGGTTTGT